ACGATTTTATTTATGAAACAATTATCTTTTTTTCAACAGATAGGGTAGATGTATATGACTACAACAGGTAGGACTGACGTTTATGACTCTGAAATTAGAGTAATAGTAATAAACTTTGACGTAATTGGTTATAAAGAGTAATCAATTCAAATGGATCGTAAAATGATCCTTGGCACTGAGAAAGTGATCTGGAAAAAGGGGGTTGTATTTTGTTCTGATGTATTAGCGCATCCCTAATTTTAAACAATTTTCTGAAGAAAAAAAGTGTGGCCAATACAAGCGACTTTACGGTATTCAAGTGGTATTTCATGAAATTCTATGTTTTAAATATGGACTTTCATAAAATACCACTTGAGTTGTGCATCAAAAGACATGAAATTTAATTTTAAAAGATAATACTTACTTATGACATGTTTAATTTGGTTTTGAATTAGTTGTTCATATCCAAAAAATACTGCTGGTAAAAATGAAATAAAATTAAAAAAAAATAATAATTTTCCTACCTACCTACCCTGTTTTTTTTTCCAGGCTGGTAGCAGGAAACAAGACTATTATATTTTTTTTTTGGCCTCAACAAAATAATTAGTTTAGAATTCATTAACAGTTCATAAATTAGGTTCTAATCTCTTCCCCATTTATCACTCTCACCATACAGTATATTAACAAACTATCAGTGCTTCTGTACTATTTTAATTCCTTGTTGAAATCTCTTACAATGGCCTATCTTGGTCTTTGATGAACTTTTAATAAGACAAGTTATTTTTGTCTCATTTTTATTTATCTATTACTTACAAGTCTACCTGATCATTAAAACTATGACAGTACTTTTTGTATTATGCAATAAAAATTCTTGCATAATTCTCCTATTCTATTAACCTTTCAAGTACATTATTTACAGTGATTAATAGCGATTCTCTGTAATCACTTAAACTTCTTTGCCATGCATGGTCACCGATTTTGATGAAACTTCGCCCATTATTACAACTTGACACCAGAAACATAAATCAAATAAAAGTTTGTTGCTATGTGTCTTGGTTGCCATGGTAACAGCCAGATAAGTTGAAAAAAATTGAGATTTTCAGCTTCTTTAAATTTTTATTAAGCCTTAATAAAGACTAAGAAAAACAAACAAACTATTCTTACAAAAGCATGACACCTTGTTGCCACTTATGCTATAAATAAATTATTTAGAATTTATCTCTAAGTAAGTGGTAACCATGGGTACATTTGGAATACATTTGAGATGCTGAAAAATGCTGAAAACTGCTCAATATTTATTAATGATAGATGTAACATGATTAAACTCAATCAACAACCAAAGGAAAACAATAAAAATATTTGACCTTAAGTAATGAGGTATTGGCAATATTATTCTAAAAATAACTTTCATTGTTGCCATGGTAACACAGTGTAACCATGCAAAATCTGTTGCTAAGATTGGGTTAATGCTACTATCTTGAGGGAAAACAATAAAATTCATGACTGGCACATATACATCCTTAGGACCTTGCAACACCAACAACATAAGAAATATTGGGATTAATTGTTACTTTGTAGCATAACCATGGAAACAATGTACCAGTTGTTTACAGTGATATTTTTTTGCTGTTTTAGGAATTTACTTAGCTTTTAATCAAGAAACATATTATTTGACTCACCTTGAATAGTACTTATCTAGTAGAACTAAAGTTGAATACCATATATTGATAAAGTTTGTTGAAAAATACAACACTGTTGCTATGGTTACCAAGAAGGGAAAATGTTCGATTTTGTTAATTGATATCAGTTTTAAATCCTATGTGCCAGCTTTTTGCATCCAGTTAGAGATTGGGTGGTAGTCAAAATTGAAAGTCGGGTTAGTTGTTCATATATATCAATCATAAAAGTTTTGGGAATCTACATACAAGGGTACGTATCCAAGTAAAACAAAATATTTTTTCAGATTTTTATGCATATTTTTTCGGCTAATTCCATAGAAATGCTCTATTTAAAGAATTGAATTTGAATTTTTTTGAAATGTGAAAATTAGGCTCACACCAGCGCCTTTAAAAATTGATCATCAGTTATATAGAAATATGCTTTTTAAAAGGATAGTCTTAGAATAAGAATAAAACACTAAGAAAGTAAATTTAAAATAACTTTGTGGTATTAAAACCATGGCAACCATTGCCAACCTATAAAAAATATCATATTTCGTCCTTGGTATATGTTACAAGGATCTCTTGTCTATTATTTGCTTGCATTTCAACCTATAATTGTTTTTATTCTTAAGTGTATGACTTTATAAAATTAAATGAACAAAATAGTAACGTATGTAATAGTTGATTTATCAAACATGTTTATCATGCATTTAAGACATAAGGCCTTCAACTTTCAGAAACAGTCATTGCCACTTGTTTGCTTTGCTGCAAAGGTTAACTGTCGGACTCTGAACATGTTGAAAAATGCCATTTTTCAAACTTTAGGACATGTTGCTATGGTAACCATGACACGTAGCAACTAATTTTTGCCTGATTTGAGTTTAAGGTATCAAAGACTTTTATCATAGAGAGTTTGGAGAAATTCTGAGACTATGCGTGCCACAGTTCCTATATAAAAGTTAAGTCATTACAGAGAATGGCTCTTAATTATCAAAAGTAAATGGCAAAGGGGAATAAATACAAATTAATAGAGCCCTGGCCAGGACCAGAACACTTGACCAAATGGTCCAGATGTTCAAAAATCTGGTAAAAAAAAATACCCTTCCTTATTAAAACTTTCACTCTTTTTGCCTCTGATATGCCCAGGTGCAGAGAAGAATTTTAAAGAAATAATGCATTTTTACTACAGATTCACTATATTCACTATATTATCAATAGAGCCCCCCCCCCCCTCCCCACTGAGAAACACCAGAGCCTCTCACCCTGGGACCAGAAGTTTGCTCATCATAAGTAATCACTTTGTATATCTGCTTAACACTAAGGAGCAGACAGGATTATTTAATTGAATTAATGCATTTTCACTACATTATCAAGAGCCCACCCTTACACCAACACAGCTGACCCAGGGGTCATGAAATTCACTACTCTGGAAGAAGCACTCTTGCTCATCATAACTACACACTTAGCTTCTTTGCTTTTTAACCAGAATATTTTCAAAGAAATTTTGCTTTTTCATTATATAATCAATAGAGCCCCCCCCCCTCCCACCTTTTCACCAGAACCCTTGACCCTGGGGCCATGAAATTCACAATTTTGGAAGAGTCACTCTTGCTTATCATAGCTATGTATTTAAATTTGTTTAAATAATACCCTGGGGAAGAGAAGAAGATTTTTAAAGAAATAATTCACCTTCACTATAGGATCTATATAACCCCACCCTAGCGCCAGAACCCCTGTCCCTGGGACCATGAATTTAACAATTTTGGAAGAGGCATCCTTGTTTATCATAACAATGTACAAGTTTAGTTTGCTTAAATAATACCCAGGCGAAGAGAAGAAGATTTTTAAAGCATTAATGCATTTTCACTATATGATAAATAGAGCCTGGCCCTAATATCAGATCCCCTGATCCAGGGGCCATGAAATTCATAATTTTGGAAGAGGCATCCTTGCTTATCATAACTATGTATTTAATTTGTTTAAATAATACCCAGGAGTGGAGAAGAAGATTTTCAAAGAAATAATGCACTTTCACTACATGATCTATATAGCTCCGCCCTAGCACCAGAACCCCTGACCCTGGGGCCATGAATTTCATAATTTTGGTAGAGTCACCCTTGCTAATCATAACTATGTATTTAATTTGTTTAAACAATACCCAGTAGTAGAGAAGAAGATTTTCAAAGAAATTTTGCTTTTTCACTATATAATCAATAGAGCCCCCATCCCCACCCCTTTACCAGAACCCTTGACCCTGGGGCCATGAAATTCACAATTTTGGAAGAGGCATCCTTTCATATCATAACTATGTTTTTAATATGTTTAAATAATACCCAGGAGTAGAGAAGAAGATTTTCAAAGAAATAATGCACTTTCACTATATGATCTGTATAGTTCCGCCCTAGCACCAGAACCCCTGACCCTGGGGCCATGGATTTCACAATTTTGGTAGAAGCACCCTTGCTTATCATAACTATGTATTCAATATGTTTTAATGATATCCAGGAGTAGAGAAGAAGAATTTCAAAGAAATAATGCACTTTCACTACATGATCTATATAGCCCAGCCCTAGCACCAGAACCCCTGATGCTGGGGCCATGACTTTCACAATTTTGGTAGAAGCACCCTAGCTTATCATAACTATGTATTCAATTTGTTTCAATAGTACCCAGGAGTAGAGAAGATTTTCAAAGAAATAATGCACTTTCACTATATGATCTATATAGCCCCGCCCTAGCACCAGAACCCCTGACCCTGGGGCCATGAATTTCACAATTTTGGTAGAGGGCTCAATGCTTATTACAATCATGCCAACAGTTTGACTGCTTGATGTCCAGGAATAAAGAAGAAGATTTTTAAAGATTGCATTAATTTTGGTGGTTTTAGCCCCATCCCTCAGGCCCCAGGGGGGCAGGGACCATGAAATTCACAAATTTTGTTCCCCTTCACACATAGATGCCATATGCTAAAATTGGCTGGAATTGGTTCAGTGGTTTCAGAGAAGAAGCTGAAAATGTTCAAATGTTAACACACCACACACGATGACAGACGAAAACAGATAGCAATAGGTCACCTGAGTGACTCAGGTAACCTAAAAACATACATACAGTACTTCATTATGGTCAATATACATGTACATGGGCAACTTTGACATGTTTGAGGACACATTTTGTGGATAACTAGTATATATATAGAGAGAGAGAGAGAAAGAGAGAGGGGCACTAATCTGATGGTTGATTTACCTATTGTTGGATGTAAACTTGTGAATAATAGTGCCAACTCACAAATCTCCATCAAGCAATAATGATTACCTAGTAATGGCACTTATGTACACTTAATCATATTGTACTTGCTCTTACCAATAATGTCATTTATCTGTCTGACTTCACAACCAACTTTGTCCTTCTTCATCTTGATGTGCTGCACTGCATCTTCCCATGCTTCTTCCATTGATGTTTTCTATAAAGGAAGTACACAATTATTCCACAGAGCATATAAGAAACTTAAATTTTAACTAGAGCCAAGCTCGTTGTTGAAGCAACGAATAGGTCTTCTGTTGGAGCTGCAAACAGGAAATAGTGACTATGAGTTAAGGTCATGACACTTTCTCAGGTCATAAGCAGTGTTTGAAATAACCCTGCGCCCGACCGCCTGAGACGCACAGACTTTGCCGCGGACGAATAGATTTGCACGTATCAAAGTCCAACTGGACATGATAAAATTTGCCTTGAATTAAAAATCATTTATTTGATAAATATCTCTCAAATCAACTAATAGTATCAGCAGCTAACTGTAACAAGTAAAGGGGTAGAATTCGACAGCCTATAGATTTGGGATGGAAGTTTATGGTGATCGTGCCCCATTCACATTATTGCTAAAAACATTTATATAAGCCTTTTATTTTCTTGGGCTAGTAGAGTTTTGGCAGGGCTGACAACTTCACTAGCGGTCAGCCCTGCATGTCTGGCTAATTCTACCACAAGTTTCAAACACTGGTCTTAAGTAACTATCTTTTTATGAGGTATCAACTTCCAATGTTTCACGGGTTCCAATAGATCGAGAGACTTAACGAATTTTACAGTTTCTCTGTCAGTGACCTTGAGCTGGTCAAAATGACTTTGCATCAAGGCCATGACACACTCTGGTTATATCTCACTCGGACCCACCTTGTGTTTTTTAGAGTCAAAAGGTCCCCCCCTCCCCCAAATGGGAAAAAAAGATGTAGACTTATAGGTAGGAAAGTGCCTTCTCCATCCATCCCACCCACCAAAGGAAATAGGTTTTTCAGTGTTTGGAATTTGAGGAAGTTGATTAGGTTTTTTTTCCTTTTTTTCTTTGTTAAAATATTTCTGTCAGTCTGACATTGGTTGGAACTGATGTAGAACCCCCGCTTCCCAGAAAACAAATTTCTGGATCTGCGCCTGTCGACATTCATGCAGTAGTGATGCATGTGTAAAAAGATTCTGCATGTCTATCATAACAATTCACAACTTCTTGTAGTAATTTTTTAGCCGTCTTTCATCATTTCTGATGCTGATATTCCATGCAGTTGAAACAAATGCATGTCACCATTTTAAAAAATCTGCATTGATATCATATCATATTAACTATTATTTATATCTAACTTTACACTCTCATTTCAAATGTTTTACACAAGCATGCACATGTATGGACTGAACTTTACACTTGTTATTTGAGCTACAATATATTTACATAAATTTTGTCCCCTTTCCATTATTCTAACGAGTCGCAAACAATGAAGTTTAATACAATGTCTTCAAAATGTACGGTAATGAAATATTTCGACCCCCACTTATCCCATCTTCAACAAAACAAAACCAAAAAAAAATGGATGGAAGCATTTATAATGCTTACATTTAGGTATTTATAAGTGTCTGTCACGTGATCAACAAAGTCATGTGACATCACAAAAATGAATTATTATAATAATGATTACACGCTCATCACAAGTTGACTGCAAATTCATACATGGATTACAAATTGAAATTAAATCTAGCTCAAAATAGAATGTATATTCGGACAGCCTTAACATAGCTGCGTTGTCCTTATAGTAAGTGAAATATCAAAGATTTTTAAAAAACATAATTCTACGTAAACTTTAAAGTAACCTTGAGACTATGGTTTTGGTGATGCCTTGAAAATTTTTAATCTACAGCATATCCTCATCCTTATGTGTAAGTTTGATGATAATCTGCCCAGTGCTTCTAGAAAAGAAGATTTTTTTAGCAACCACTACTTTTGTTTTTATAATCCCTAATTATCTCCCCTTGTTTAAGGGTCACATCCCCAGTTTTTCTTTTAAATGAAAGCCTTGGGCCAAGGATACTCCATGACAAAGAACTGGGTACGTAACGTATAACAGAGCGGCCCTGTCTCCAAATTTGATTTCAGTTTTTTAAAAACATGCCTACGATGTGTCCTTTCAAAATCCTTTTATTTTTTTTAATTATCACAAACCGTTTTTCCGTCAGAGGTCTCGAAAAATGGGGAGTTTTCTTTAGAAATTACAAATTTTGATGTGATTACATCATCATGGCATTTTTAACGTTACGTTAAAAGAAATCTGTAAATTCTCTGAACTGGAAACTAATTACTTTAATATGCCTTATGTTCCAGAAAACAATTTTGAACTTTTATTTCAATTTATTGTGATGTATCTTTGATATAGCTGGAAGGAGTATGATAATTTGAAGGAAAATATAATTTTATTACAAACGATTTCGTCAGACAAGTAATGAAGGTTGATTCATCCATACAGACGAGACAAGGTAGTACTTCTTTCAAAATTGCGCTCGTATCAGATTTATCATTTTTTATGTAAAAATTTCCTAATGATTTCTTCAACCATTTACCGCATGAAGTTATATTAAAAATTTTAAAGATACATGAATCAATTAAAAAGAAAATTGGAACATTCCATATAAAGTAGTCAAAATTGGATTTTTGGCAATGAAAAAACCATCAACACCACTCCCCCCTTTTCCATTCCAACAAGTGGCAGTGCTATTAATTTCGGTTTTTTTTTTTGTTTTTTTTTTTTTTGATAAACGTATAAATTACTCACTATTACGTGGTTACGAGGTGTTTTAAACAGCGTTAAAAAAATTTCTTTGATGTTAGGATTTCTTTTATAGAACGTTATTTATTCATTCCAGTGGATCCGCTTTACTGCATAGTTCATGTAAAATACACTAACCAGGAATAGTCCCCAAATATACTTATGTTACATTAAAGTTTTAGAATTCATAGCATTTAAAACTAACTATTATGAATTCTAAAACTTTAATGTAACAGTTAGACACAATCACTTTCTATGTTTCTACTTTCTATGTTAAAACCACATGAGGGGACAGGTTATAAGAGTCCTGATTGATGAGGCCATTCCAAGTTTTTTCTTTGTTTAGCGTCCATCCTAAATTCGAAAACCTATCATCCTATCACAGACTAAAAGGGGAAAAACATAACATTTTCAGAACAGCTCTAGAATTTCTTATTATTATCATTTGAGACCTCTCCTCGCCATAAAACTAAGTTAAACTACTAGTTTATTGAAATAAAAAAAAATGATACACCACTTAAAAAAGAGAGATGTCAATCCCAAAAGAGTAAAATGCATTTCAGAGATTCGTATTTGTTGACTTAAATTTGAGTTAACTTTGTGTTTGCGTTTCAAAGCTTTGTATTTGTTGATTTTAATTTGTGCTTGTTTTTAATTTCATAACCTCAAAACCGCTGAACATAGAAAAAAAACTTGGAATGGCCTTATCATAACTTGAATTACAAACCTTGAAAAATTTTGCTTCAAATAAAAACCGTGAATCTCCGAAGGCTTTTAAAAAAGGGGTGTGCAATTTGTTTGGATCCATTTTTCGATGAAGAAAATATTTTATATAGACAAACGCTCCACTTTGCATGTACATACTCATTATTTGATAAAACAAAAATTACATGCCTAAATCTGCGTAGTGAATTCGACAGGAAATGCACACGGATTCTTGGGAAGGGATTCAGAAGCCTGTAGTACACTCTAACGGGCATAATTCCTCAAACAAGTTAAAACTAAAAGTTATAAAAAAAAAAATAAGAATGTAATATTGTGTGTATGATTTACATATAGAGTTTATCCACGTCTGCGATGAAAATCTGCGCGTATCGTCTTCAAAGCAATGCTGCATGAAGCGGCAGACATTTGCATTGATATCAATCAGTAAAAAATCAATCAACAGTCACAGTCGAGTGGGGAGCCACGGGAAATTGGAAAGGGATGTATTTAGTTTTAAATCAAATTCTTGATATAATTTTTTTATTGGTACTCATTACAGTACATGTATAAATTGATTATCAGTAACCCCCCCTTCCACTTCTATTTAAATAGAGACAAAATACAAATAAACGAAATGCAGAATAATAGAACACTCACACAAAAGAATCAAAATTCACTCTCACGTCCCTTTTTATAAGCTACATAGAGATTTTATTTCTAGTTCAGTTATCAAATTATACGAAATCTGATGTTATTTTGTTACTTGTGGAAACAATACACAAAACACGTCACAGTGCTTCTTTATATAGTTATCCTTGCCATTCCCGGATTATATCACTAGCTTGATTATGTTTCTTTTTCATGTTAGTGTCTGATAAATAAAAATCTTAAAAAATATACCTAACAATTGCGTGACGATATATCTAGTCATCTACTAAGACAAAAACTGCATTAAAATAGATAAAGATTTTCTTTAGAACTCCTCCTCATGTTTACATGTTACACAACCGTAGGTAAGATATTTGATATATTTTGGTGACAATGAAAATTTTATCACTTTCTTTGGATACATTAACTCTCTGGGGCATTTCCTTCACAATTCTGTACATTTGTCCTTGTAGTAACGATAAGATACTTTCAATTTTTTTTCTGGAACGGATTATCATCATAGACAGACGTTTTCACAGAGGTGATATTGGACAGGACGCTCCTCCAGCCCCGATGAACATCCATTGGATACTGAACATATTTCCTATGACATACTTAATGTATTATTTCATGGATAATCTGGATAAAATCCTTTTAAAAATACTCGCTTACTTCAAGATTAACAATAGTATACATGTAGTTAATATGTACATTCTTTTTTTTATACAGATAACTATCTATAAAGTAATCTTTTTTTTCTTTTTTTCATTTCAAGACTTGGAATGCCTTAAAAATGTATTTGGGAAATAATTTCTGAAAAAAAAAAATCGAGTTAAACCATCGATTATGGAGCGGAAAGGGGGATGTCTTGTCCACAAGTAATGTATGATCGTTTCTGTATTTCTTACAGAACTGGGAACAGATAATCTTTATTCAAAGACAATAAAAAGGTTGATTGTATCATGTTTCACTTAAATTTTCGTAGAAAATGCCGAAAGCGTACACCCCTGTATACGTTTTTTAAGCC